CATGCGTCAGCCCTGCGACCGCGCATTCGCAGAGGACCTGGCGGTGGCGCTAGCGAACGCAGGCTCGCAACTACCGCGTTTGAAGCAGCTGTTCGATGAGTTCGCCCTCATCTCCCGTCTGCATCTGAACGTCGGGAAGTCGATGATAGTGCCTTTGGACCCGGACGCGATAGAGCACACAAAGGCGTTGCTCCGCAGGTGCTCGCAGGGATGGGACTGGACGACGGCTGCCAGCGCGGCCAAGCATCTGGGCGTTTATTTGGGGCCTAGCAAGGACAAACCCTTGTTCAGGTTTGCGGCGCAGGCGGAACAATGGGGGCGTCTTGGAGTGGGTCTGCGATCCACCTTGAAAGCTTTCCGCGTCTACATGGTGTCCGTTCTCCTCTTCGTGGGCCAGCTGGAGCGGCCCCCCGAAGGCCTCCAGGACGCCATAGTGAGGGCCGCGCGGCGCCTCTTCCCAGGCCCCTGCGACTGGATCACCACCGAGGCACTGCAGGAGCTCGGACACTTCGGTCCCCCCGGCGAGCCTCACGGATGTGGAGTCGACCATGGCGGCGGCCAAGGCGATAGCCGTTCAGTTCGAGGCTGGAGGGTCGGGGATGGACAGACCTCCTACCCTGACACGTCGATTAAGGAATTCGTTGTCACCAAGGGTGGGTCTACTAAAGGGAGGTCTGTCCACTGCCGAGAGGGAGCTTGGACATCTCCTGGAGGGCCAGGGCGGGGATCGCCCTGGAGCGCCCAGTGGGCGCATCGCTGGCCAGAGCTGTCTGGACGGGATCCTGGAGACAAGCTGCCCGCACGCCTGCCCTGCAGGAGGCACAGCAGCGCACCCGAGTGCTCAGAGGCCAGGCCCCTGCTGGTGGCGCAAAGCAGCTGCGTTGGCAGAGGCACGCGGCCCTGCAACTCCGCGCAGACGCACGCCCCGCGCCGAGGGCGCAGGTCCGCGCGCTGTCGACCAAGAAGCTGTACAGCACTGGCCGTTGGCGCTGCTTCCCCGCCCTCGCGTCTGGCTTGCTTCGAAGACATGGAAGCGGATTGGAGCTTTGGTGCTAGCCGCGGGCATGGGCGGCAGTGCTATGCTTCCGGCGCAGAGGGTGGCGCACTGGCGCTCCCGATTTGGGCACTCCGCGCGGTGCCGTGCTGGCTGTGGCCACGACCTAGATTCGATTCGTCACGTCGCCTCACGCCAGATCTTTCAGTCGCTGCTGCAGGAACCGCCCCTGGAGCGCGAGCATGCGTTGGCTCGTTCCCTCCGCACTAGCAGGCCCAGACTGACCGACGATGAGCTCACCATCTGGGCAGTCGGAGCCACACGGGCTGCATCGCACTCACAGCTTGAGCCGCCATGGCGCCGTCCCCACCGGCGACTTCGCCAGTGTCTTTCGCGAGTATTGCAGCGAGGCACGTCGAGGGCAGTCGCGGGACGAGGGCGTGAACGGGGCCGCTGAGGAGCAGGTGTTCCGCATTTCTGAGCATGTATGGTCGAGGGTTTGGGCCCCCCCCCCACACCCCCAATGCTAATGCCATCGGCCCCCCCCCCCGCGCGATGCCCCCCCCCTCCCCTGTGGGCGTGGGCGTGGCGTGGTGGCTCCCCCCCCCCCCGTGGATGTGGTGTGGGTGTGGTGTGTTGCTGTGGGCGTGTGCGGGGTGACGCCATGGTCCTCCTCCCCCCCTCCCTCCTTCCCTGTGGGTGCGGTGTGGATGCGGCGTGTGGCTGGGATTGGCGTCATGTTGACAGCTTCAGTGCTCGACGTCGGCGGCCGCCGCCGCTGGTGGTGCCGTCGTCGTCGATGTCGTCGTCGTCGTCGTTGTCGGTGTCGTCGTCGTCGTCGTCGTCGTCGTCGTCGTCGTCGTCGTCGTCGGTGTCGGTGTCGTCGTCGTCGTTGTCGTCGTCGTCGTTGTCGGTGTCGTCGTCGTCGTCGTCGTTGTCGGTGTCGTCGTCGTTGTCGTCGTCGTCGTCGTCTCCTCCTCCTCCTCCTCCCTCCTCCTCCTCCTCCTCCTCCTCCTCCTCCTCCTCCTCCTCCTCCTCCCCCCCCCATCCCATCTGGGGGGGGGGGGCCCGAGAACCCTGGGACCCATCTGGGGGGGGGGGCCCGTGGGCCCTGAGCCCGCGATCATGTACAATGCGCGGACTTCCCCCTCCTCCCTCGCTCCTGGCCCCGGCGGGGCTCTTCCTCCTCGGGCCCTGGGTCTGGGCCCCTTGGGGGGTCCTCGCCCCCCTCTCTCCTCTCCTTGTCCCCTCTCCTTTCGGGCCCTGGCTCCGTCTGGCCTCTGCGTCTCTCCCACGTCCTACGCGTGCAAGTTTGGAGCTGTTGTTGTACAATTGTCTGATGCCGCTGTGGCATCGAACTGTGCCGTGCCCGCCATGCATTGGGTTGTTTTTGCCTTTCGCCCAAGCAGCTGGCTCGCGCCAGTGCTGGGAGGGCGCCGGCGCCCTTCGTCCTCTTCTCCTCCCTTCCTCTTCATCTCTGCTGCCCCGCAACTTTTAGCACAGAAAGTTGCGAACTGCAGCTCGCTGGGAGCATCCCTGGCGAATGGGTTCAGCACGGGACGGGGCCCGCTTCGCCGCCCATGATTTCAAGTTTTCGCTGGCTGGGCCGCCCGTTCCGAGTGCGAGGTTCTGAATGTGTTGCCATTCGTGGTTTTACTTTGTCGCACAGGCTTTGGGCAAATGCCCAGGCAATTATTGTCACGGGTAGCGTTTGTCGGTGCCGGCCGCGTGACCGATGCAAGCATGTGCCCATTCAGGATGGTACGTCTTTGAAGGATTTCGTACATTGAGGTCTGTGTGTTCTTCTCCCCCCTTTTTCTCTCTCTGCCCGCTTCCTCCTCCGATGCACATAAAGACGAAGTACTTGCAGTAAAGTGTCTGGTCGATGTTTGGTCCTTCGCACGGTCCCAGATTATTTCCAAGGCACTTGCTATAAAAAACAACACCATCACCAACAACAGCAACAATCACAGTCATGTTAGGACTCTTCGTTCTTACCTGCTCGCGTGCCACTCAACACGTATACGCCAAAGCCTCGATACCCGCCCTCTTCGTCTTCGATCGTACCCCCTTGGGGGCAGACGTTCCTGACCTGCCACGTATAATTTGCGCAGCCCCTAAAACAGGGGAAGACGGGACGCATGGAAGGGGGAGGGAGAAGGACGCAGTACGAGAGAGATTAGCAGGAGGGGGGCTAAAAACAGAAAGCATGTGGCAGAACCAGACGGGTTGATCCAGCGAGCAGATCCTAACGGGCGGGTCTGGAAGGCGGGCCCAGGCGGCCAGGTCCAGCAGGCGGGTTTTTGAAGCGCGATTCCCGAGAAAATCGTTAGACCTGTCCAGAGCGAGAGCGCGGCTCCTGATCTCAGCACCATCAGCCTTCTCGTCGTCACACTCCGGGGCGACTTGTTGGGGGGGGGGGGCGGCGGCGGAAGTCTGCAGCAGCCCTTACGAGACAGCGAGCAGACAGCGCACACGCCTATAGCGTGCCGAGAGCGCTGGCGGCGGGCAGGAGTGCCTGCGCTTCCTCCGCGGGGGAGCGCCCCCGCCGGGCCGGCGGGGGGCCCCCACGGACGCGCACGATCAGCAGCAGAGGGTCGGCCACGCGCAGGGGAGGGCACAGCCAACCCGCACGGGAAGGAGGGGCCACCTTCCCAAGGGTGCCCCTGCACCCTTCCCTCCTCGGCCCGTTCTTGGCCACTGGCCTTGGCCGCGCCCCGCTCGAAAAGCCTCGAACTGGGCGTCCAAGGGCCTTGCATCCCTAGCGCGCGTGCTCGTGATACGGATCGACCGTGGGGGGAGCGGGGGGGGGGGGGGGGCTTCTTAGAAGCCCCCTGTTTCCTAAAAGGCGCGGGCCTTGCCTATAGATTTAGGGCTGGCGCCTGTCGACCCGCGGCGGCCCTGACGCTGGAGTTCAACATTGGACGCCGCCGGCGACCCAGAATCGGTCGATGTTGAACGATCTGACGGTTCGGGAGCGGCCGACCGTTCGAGGCTGAACGATGCCCACAGTGTCAGGAACCAACGCAGGATCGACACGACACGAGTCCGCCGTACACCATCCCTGGGTGCGTGGGTGAAGTGGGATCCCGTGGCTAGGATTATGCTCGTTTGTTGTTGTTGTTGTTGTCGTCGTCGCCTTCCCCCCCCCCGCGACCCACCCCGTGACCCACACCGCGACCCACCCCGCGACCCACCCCGCGACCCACGCGCGACCCACCCCGCGACCCACCCGCGACCCTACCCGCGCCTGGCCCATCAGCGTGCTCTGAAATGCGTGCCGACGCTCATATTAAAGATCGGCCTCGCAATCCTAGCTGCCTCGATACCCCATTGTTGATACGCAACACGCACAGTGCTAAACATGTCCGTGTCAGTACGTTGCGTGTTGGTTCAACGTATTGGCCCACGTTTTGGCGAACAAATCGCGCCAGACCTACGTGTTCAGTCTACGTGTTGAGCTCCGTATCGATACGCTACGTTCTGCGTGTTGCGTATCGGGGCAGCTAAGCTCGCAATGCTTTATCATACATAAGCGATGCTCCGATAGGCCGGTGGGAACCACAGAATGGAGCGCTGCGAATTGCGTTCTGGGGGAGCGCGCCATTTTCGGGCGCCCACATGAGCTACGGGTTCGACGCCGCTCGCACGTGTTGCCGGTGGGTGCCTTCAAAAAACCCTGCGCGGCGCCGCTGCATCAGGCCCTGCCTCGTGAACGGGCAGCTGTTCTGAGCCGAAGACTCCACGCGTAGAGCCGCCCACCAGCACCGAAGAACGAAACACGGCAGAACGATGTTTCATAAGAGGACCGCGCTGGTTTCTTGGATCGGCGCTGGGCCCCCCCTGCTGGCGACGCCTCCAGCGCCGGCCCCTAGCGCGCTCCGCGCGCCAGGGAAGAGGGCCCAGCGCCGATCCACAGGAGCGCCCCGCGGACCTCCGAGGAACGATGCGCTCCTGCCGTGTTTTGCCCCCCGGCGGCAGCCCGAGCCCGCACCTGCCGTCAGCGATGGCCGTCGCCTTCGTGGCGCCGTCGGCCGCGCCAGCAGCCGCCCCCGCCGCCGTCGCGCGCGCGGCCGCCGCGCGCCTCGCCTCCTCCGTCGAGGCGCCGCGCTCGTCGCCCCGCCTCGGCGGCGGTGCCCCGCTGCTGTGCGCGGGCGCCGCGGCGCTCGCCGGCGCGCTGGCGCGGCCGCGCCGCCGAGGCCGCGGGCACGGCGCGGCGGCGCGCCGCGTGGCGGTGCGCGCGGGGGGCAAGGTCGGTTGCGTGGGCATCATCGGCTGCTCGGGCGCCGTCGGCGAGGAGATGCTGAAGTGCCTGGAGGACCACGAAGAAGAAGAAGAAACGGCATATAAGCATATACAAACTCGTGGCGCTCCGCGCGGACTTCGCGGATCCGCGCTGGCCACACACACACACACACACCGGCGGCGCCTCTGGTACCGCCCCTCACGCGCTCCGCGCGCCAGGGAGAGGGGATTCTAGCGCAGATCCAAGAGCTCCGCGCCGAGCGCCAAAAGTTTATGTGTATGCCGTTTTATTGATGAAGTGCCTGCCCTGGCCAGGTCCATCCTGGGCCCTGAACTGGTGTGTATACCTCGAGGCCCGGGCCAGGAAAACCTGTATACACCAGTCCAGGGCCCAGTATGGGCCTGGCCCGGGCCGGTGGTGGTGTATTGCTTGGAGCTCTCCTAAGAGCCTATAAGACCGAGCGCCAAAAGTTGTTTTTTCTTCCTCTACGATGTGGTTGGGCACGTCCCTCTACAGGAGGAATTTTCAAAATTGTAGAAAAAATGGGAACAATGTTTGGACTATGTTTGACTATGTTCGAGTATTGTTTGGCTATGTTTCATTCGGTAGAGGGAAACAATTAATGAACACTCCCCCTCCCCCCCAAGCTCAACGTTGGCACGCGCGGGGGAGACTGCGAGTGCACCTCATCAGACCCACCGCCAACTTTGAACATTGGGGGGAGGGGGAGGCGTTGACGGATGAATGTGGCATGACTGTTCGCTAATTTGTTCCGAGGCCTGTTTCTCGTCCAAAATCCGCATGTAGGAGGACATGCCCGACCGAACTATAGGACCGCAGCTTCCCCACCGAGAGGGTGCGCCTCTTCGCCAAGCGCGCCGCCGGCACGGTGGTGAAGACGGAGAAGTTCGGGGAGATCACCGTGGAGGAGTTCTCGCTCGAGGCCGCGCAGGAGTGCGAGGTGTGCCTCCTGGCCGTGTCCGGGGACTTCTCCACGGAGTGGTCGCCCAAGATCAGCGGAGGGCCGAAGAACACCAGCGTGATCGACAACTCGTCGGCCTTCGAAGAAGAAAGAGCACGCCAGAAACATAAACTTGTGGCGCTCCGCGCGGATTTCTTGGCTCCGCGCTGGGACCCCCCCGGCGGCCTCTCCGGCGCCGCCCTTCGGCGCCCTCCGCGCGCCAGAAAGGGGGGTCTGGCGCGGATCCAAGAAATCCGCGCAGAGCGCCAAAAGTTTCTGTTTGTGGCGTTCTCTCTTCTCCTAGGCTTGGCGGTATACGGACTCGGTGCCCCTGGTGATTCCGGAGATCAACGGCGGGAAGAACTCAGAGGCGCCTTTGGTGGCCAACCCGAACTGCACCACCGCCGTCGGAGCCATGGCCCTGTACCCGCTTCACCAGAAGTATGGCCTCAAGAAGGTCATCATGTCGACGTACCAGGCCGCGAGCGGGGCCGGCGCGGAGGGCATGGCGGAGCTCGAGACCGGCATCAAGGAGTTCGCGAAGACGGGCAAGGTGTCCCCGCCCGAGTTCTTCGCGCACCAGCTGCCCTTCAACGTCATCCCGCAGATCGACGCCTTCCAGGCGAACGGCTACACGAAGGAGGAGATGAAGGATCGGGGGCGCGCAACCAAAGGGGGGGTCGCGAGGTGGGGGGGGGCCCTCGAAGCAGGCAGGGTGCTGAACAAAAATTGGCATAGACATAAAAAGTCGGAGGTCCGCGCGGATTTCTCGGATCGGCGCTGGACCCCCTCCCTGGCGCGCGGAGCGCGCCAGGGGCGGCGCCGGAGGCGCCGCCGGGGGGCCCCAGCGCCGATCCGAGAAATCCGCGCGAACCTTCGAGTGTTTATGTGTTATGCCCCTTCTTGTTCCCCAAGCTCCCTCGGAGGGCCCAGAGGCTGCCCCAGGAAGCCGTCCGAGAAGCCGCCGGGCCCTTCCAGGAAGCGCCCTGCCCTCCCGTTGGCGAGGCCGCCCGGCTGCGGCCGAGGGCTGGCGAGGTTCGCCGAGGGCCGCCGAGGGCCAGCGAAGGTCGCCGAGGACTCCCGAACGCCGCCGAGGAGGAGGAGGAGGAGGAGGAGGAGGAAGTGGACGAGGACAAGGAGGAGGAGGAGGAGGAGGAGGAGGAGGGAGGAGGAGGAGGAGGAGAGGAGGAGGAGGAGGAGAGAGAGAGAGAGGAGGAGGAGGGAGGATGAGGACAGGAGGAAGAGGAGGAGGAGAGGAGGAGGAGGAGGAGGAGAGAGGAGAGAGGAGAGAGGAGGAGGAGGAGGAGGAGGAGGAGGAGGAAGAGGAGGAAGAGGAGGAGGAGGAGGAGGAGGAGAGGAGGAGGAGGCCACCGATGGCGCGCCGCCAAGAGGTGACCTGGGAGCTCCAGAAGATCTTCGGACTGTCCGACGACGTCAAGGTGTCGTGCACAGCCGTGCGTGTGCCGACCCTGCGGGCGCACTCGGAGTCCATCGTGATTGAGACGGAGAAGAAGGCTCCACCGCCAGTGCACATCGGTAGTTGAGAGCAGGCATTTCTGAATACCCATAACTCTAATATTAGGTCGGGCATGTCCTCCTACAGGGGGGGGTTCGATGAAAAGTGACAAGAATTTAAAACTATCCAGAAATAGTTTAAACAAAGAATATCAACAAGTTTTCCCCATACTCTTTTTCGACTAGTTTGGAATATTCCTCCTGTAGAGGGACATGCCCGACGTAATTCTACTATAATGTGGGCGCCTTCATGCCTCAAGAACTGGGAGGTTTTCCTTTCCCCTCCTCTTCAGGGGACGGGCGGAAGGCAAATCTACCCTCAACGCCTTCCTACTCCATGTTCCTGTCTACATAATCCGACCGACGGACATCGATGCTCCAAGTAAGATCCTGTTCGGGGAGGGTTTTCCTGGTTTTAGTCTCTGGGGGCCCGCTTCCGGTCCACGGACCATGAGAAGTCGATCCAGGGCGGGTGGCAGGACAGGCCCAAAGAAGGGTCCCAGAGCTGATTCGGAGCGGACTTTGGAATCCTGAGGACGAGGAACCTCAGATCAGGGAGAGGCATCTGCTCTTTTACCGGCGCAGACGGGGCCCAGTGGCACGACACGACGACGCGCGACGGACGACAGACGAGACGACAGGCGGCGGCGCAGGGGAGGGGAGGGCAGGAGGGGAGGGGGGGGGGGGAGGGAGGGCGTGCGGGGGACGCCACATGCACACCCAATGGCTCGGAGTCGTGCCCCGGGATCCCGTTGGCCTGTCGGGGAGTTGCGGGCTCTGGATATAGCTGCCCGCCCCCGAGCGCGGGAAAGCAGCCACCTCCACCGCTCCCCAGGCTTCCCGAGCAGGGGTCCAGCAGCTGCGGATGCGGATACTTTTTGGCCGGCGCTGCACAGGTGGACCCCGACGAGGCCCGCGAGCTGCTCCGGAACTCTCCGGGCGTGAAGGTCGTCGACGACCCGAGCAAATTGATGTACCCCATGCCCCTCAACGCCACAGGCATCGAGGGACAGAAAGCGGCCCGAGCATGATGTGTCGGAGGTCCGCGCGGATTTGGGTCGGCGCGGGACCACCCCTTCCCTCACCCATCTCCTGGCGCGCGGAACCCTTTCCTCGGCGCGCGCGGAGTGCACCGGAGGCGTCGCCAGGGCTGTGGCAAAGGTGGCCTGGCGCTGGCGAAAAAAAAAACGCACAGACCTCCGATGCCGTTCCAGAGCGTTCCAGAACGCCCCCAGACCTCCTCTAAGAGCGCTGTGGAACGGCCGTGGCGCCCAACATATCCTCGGCACCCGCTAGCTCTCAGAAATCCCTGCCTCATCTCTGCTCGCTGTTGCCTTCTTCCTGCCGTCGTCTCAACCCGAAGAGCACCAACAAAACATAAGCCCACACTGTCGGAGGTCCGCGCGAATTTCTTGGACCGACGCTGGACCACCCTGGCGGCGTCTCCTCTTCATCCTCCTCCTCCACTTCCTCCTCATCTTCCATTCCTTCTCCTTATAGATAACTTCTCCCTGTCACACCCCGAGGCCAGTTGTTAGGGCGGTCCGGGCGTTTCGCCTGAGACTTCCTCACCACTTATGACCCTGAAGCTTCAAAATTGGCAACAGCTTCACAGATGGAGGGCGGGCTGTTTTCAAAATGTGGCTTTCGCTTTAGCGACGCGCACATTCGTGTTGAAAAATTGCAAGAGCCTCACGGATTTCGGGGAACCTGTTCAAAAAGTGGTTTTCGCTTTCGTGCCGCCCGCATCATTTTCAACATTTGCAAAAGTTTCACGGATTGAGGGCGACCCGCTTTCGAAATGTGGCTCTCGCCTCAGCGCCGCGCTCATTCGTTTTAAACATTTGCAGAAGTTTCACGGATTGAGGGCGGCTCCTTTTCAAAATGTGGTTCCCGCCTTAGCGCCGCGCACATTCGTTTCAAACATTTACAGGAGCTTCACGGATGGAGGACGGTTCCTTTTCAAAAATTGGTTCCCGCCTTAGCGCCGCGCACATTCGTCAATCACATTTGCAAGGGTTACACGGATTCGCATGGTCAAAGTACCAGAAATCGCGTTTTGGAAGGATTCAGGATTATCAAGGTGCAAAAATGATGTTCGCTCGCGGTGTTGAAGTCGCAAGAATGGCGTTCTGGCACGGGTCAGGACCGTCAAAACGCAGCAGTCAGGTTGACCCGTGGCGTTGGAATCCCGAGAACAACGTTTTGGCATGCTTCAGGGTCTTCAAACGGTTGCCTCCCAACGAGGCTGTTCCCTCAATGGAAGAACCGCTGTAGGGCCCTATGAAGAGGAAGCTTAGGGGCAGGGTTTATTCCAACATCGTTGATGACTTTTGGTTTTACACAGGTCCTCCTCCTCCTCCTCCTCCTCCTCCTCCTCCTCCTCCTCCTCCTCCTCCTCCTCCTCATCCTCCTCATCCTCCCTCTCTAGCGCCGCCCCCCCACCTGGTGCGTGTCGCGCGCCAGGGGAGTGGGATCCAGAGCCGGCCGGGGCAGGTCCGTGCGCGCGCGGACCTCGGAGAGTCTACGATCTGGAGCTGCTGTCTTTGGCGCGCCGCTCCGCCGCGTCTCGCCCAGCCCAGACCCCCTCGGGCTCCGAAGAAATCGCGACGGTAGGCTTCTCGCTATGTTGGCCTCCGGGGGGGCGCTCACCCGCCCTCGGGGCCGTGAAAAAACGGCTCGGGACGAAAAACTCGTCCTGGGAAATGGGTCGAGACCTCTGGGGGTCGACGTCATCATTTTTTTTAACAAAAAAACGCACAGACCTCCGATGCCGTTCCAGAGCGTTCCAGAACGCCCCCAGACCTCCTCTAAGAGCGCTGTGGAACGGCCGTGGCGCCCAACATATCCTCGGCACCCGCTAGCTCTCAGAAATCCCTGCCTCATCTCTGCTCGCTGTTGCCTTCTTCCTGCCGTCGTCTCAACCCGAAGAGCACCAACAAAACATAAGCCCACACTGTCGGAGGTCCGCGCGAATTTCTTGGACCGACGCTGGACCACCCTGGCGGCGTCTCCTCTTCATCCTCCTCCTCCACTTCCTCCTCATCTTCCATTCCTTCTCCTTATAGATAACTTCTCCCTGTCACACCCCGAGGCCAGTTGTTAGGGCGGTCCGGGCGTTTCGCCTGAGACTTCCTCACCACTTATGACCCTGAAGCTTCAAAATTGGCAACAGCTTCACAGATGGAGGGCGGGCTGTTTTCAAAATGTGGCTTTCGCTTTAGCGACGCGCACATTCGTGTTGAAAAATTGCAAGAGCCTCACGGATTTCGGGGAACCTGTTCAAAAAGTGGTTTTCGCTTTCGTGCCGCCCGCATCATTTTCAACATTTGCAAAAGTTTCACGGATTGAGGGCGACCCGCTTTCGAAATGTGGCTCTCGCCTCAGCGCCGCGCTCATTCGTTTTAAACATTTGCAGAAGTTTCACGGATTGAGGGCGGCTCCTTTTCAAAATGTGGTTCCCGCCTTAGCGCCGCGCACATTCGTTTCAAACATTTACAGGAGCTTCACGGATGGAGGACGGTTCCTTTTCAAAAATTGGTTCCCGCCTTAGCGCCGCGCACATTCGTCAATCACATTTGCAAGGGTTACACGGATTCGCATGGTCAAAGTACCAGAAATCGCGTTTTGGAAGGATTCAGGATTATCAAGGTGCAAAAATGATGTTCGCTCGCGGTGTTGAAGTCGCAAGAATGGCGTTCTGGCACGGGTCAGGACCGTCAAAACGCAGCAGTCAGGTTGACCCGTGGCGTTGGAATCCCGAGAACAACGTTTTGGCATGCTTCAGGGTCTTCAAACGGTTGCCTCCCAACGAGGCTGTTCCCTCAATGGAAGAACCGCTGTAGGGCCCTATGAAGAGGAAGCTTAGGGGCAGGGTTTATTCCAACATCGTTGATGACTTTTGGTTTTACACAGGTCCTCCTCCTCCTCCTCCTCCTCCTCCTCCTCCTCCTCCTCCTCCTCCTCCTCCTCCTCATCCTCCTCATCCTCCCTCTCTAGCGCCGCCCCCCCACCTGGTGCGTGTCGCGCGCCAGGGGAGTGGGATCCAGAGCCGGCCGGGGCAGGTCCGTGCGCGCGCGGACCTCGGAGAGTCTACGATCTGGAGCTGCTGTCTTTGGCGCGCCGCTCCGCCGCGTCTCGCCCAGCCCAGACCCCCTCGGGCTCCGAAGAAATCGCGACGGTAGGCTTCTCGCTATGTTGGCCTCCGGGGGGGCGCTCACCCGCCCTCGGGGCCGTGAAAAAACGGCTCGGGACGAAAAACTCGTCCTGGGAAATGGGTCGAGACCTCTGGGGGTCGACGTCATCATTTTTTTTTAACAAAAAAAACGCACAGACCTCCGATGCCGTTCCAGAGCGTTCCAGAACGCCCCCAGACCTCCTCTAAGAGCGCTGTGGAACGGCCGTGGCGCCCAACATATCCTCGGCACCCGCTAGCTCTCAGAAATCCCTGCCTCATCTCTGCTCGCTGTTGCCTTCTTCCTGCCGTCGTCTCAACCCGAAGAGCACCAACAAAACATAAGCCCACACTGTCGGAGGTCCGCGCGAATTTCTTGGACCGACGCTGGACCACCCTGGCGGCGTCTCCTCTTCATCCTCCTCCTCCACTTCCTCCTCATCTTCCATTCCTTCTCCTTATAGATAACTTCTCCCTGTCACACCCCGAGGCCAGTTGTTAGGGCGGTCCGGGCGTTTCGCCTGAGACTTCCTCACCACTTATGACCCTGAAGCTTCAAAATTGGCAACAGCTTCACAGATGGAGGGCGGGCTGTTTTCAAAATGTGGCTTTCGCTTTAGCGACGCGCACATTCGTGTTGAAAAATTGCAAGAGCCTCACGGATTTCGGGGAACCTGTTCAAAAAGTGGTTTTCGCTTTCGTGCCGCCCGCATCATTTTCAACATTTGCAAAAGTTTCACGGATTGAGGGCGACCCGCTTTCGAAATGTGGCTCTCGCCTCAGCGCCGCGCTCATTCGTTTTAAACATTTGCAGAAGTTTCACGGATTGAGGGCGGCTCCTTTTCAAAATGTGGTTCCCGCCTTAGCGCCGCGCACATTCGTTTCAAACATTTACAGGAGCTTCACGGATGGAGGACGGTTCCTTTTCAAAAATTGGTTCCCGCCTTAGCGCCGCGCACATTCGTCAATCACATTTGCAAGGGTTACACGGATTCGCATGGTCAAAGTACCAGAAATCGCGTTTTGGAAGGATTCAGGATTATCAAGGTGCAAAAATGATGTTCGCTCGCGGTGTTGAAGTCGCAAGAACGGCGTTCTGGCACGGGTCAGGACCGTCAAAACGCAGCAGTCAGGTTGACCCGTGGCGTTGGAATCCCGAGAACAACGTTTTGGCATGCTTCAGGGTCTTCAAACGGTTGCCTCCCAACGAGGCTGTTCCCTCAATGGAAGAACCGCTGTAGGGCCCTATGAAGAGGAAGCTTAGGGGCAGGGTTTATTCCAACATCGTTGATGACTTTTGGTTTTACACAGGTCCTCCTCCTCCTCCTCCTCCTCCTCCTCCTCCTCCTCCTCCTCCTCCTCCTCCTCCTCATCCTCCTCATCCTCCCTCTCTAGCGCCGCCCCCCCACCTGGTGCGTGTCGCGCGCCAGGGGAGTGGGATCCAGAGCCGGCCGGGGCAGGTCCGTGCGCGCGCGGACCTCGGAGAGTCTACGATCTGGAGCTGCTGTCTTTGGCGCGCCGCTCCGCCGCGTCTCGCCCAGCCCAGACCCCCTCGGGCTCCGAAGAAATCGCGACGGTAGGCTTCTCGCTATGTTGGCCTCCGGGGGGGCGCTCACCCGCCCTCGGGGCCGTGAAAAAACGGCTCGGGACGAAAAACTCGTCCTGGGAAATGGGTCGAGACCTCTGGGGGTCGACGTCATCATTTTTTTTTAAACAAAAAAAAACACACAAAAAAAAAAAAAAAACAAAAAAAAAAAAAAAAAAACTTCCCCGCGGCGGCGCCCCGAGCTCTCCACGGCCTCCCGCCCCGCGGCGCGGGGCTGCA